TTAAAAAAAAATTAAAAAATATGACCGTTGAGGCCCGGACCGGGCCCGGCCGGGCCGGTTCACTAAATATCAGGCCCGAGCCCGGACCGATATCCCATCGGGCCGGGTGGCCCGAACCGGGCACTAACCGGTTCACCGGGCCGGTCCGGGCCCGCACAGTAGCGGGCCGGTCTGGTTCCGGGCCGGTTCGCCCGGCCCGAGTCCATCCCTAATAAAGCATCGATCAAATTGTATGTGCACAGACAATTTGACCGGCGTATACAATGGCGTCTATAATGCCGTGTACACAAAGCAGGACCGTATACTTTAGCACCCTTTAAAAAATGATGTTTTTAGTAAAAAAAGAAAAACAATATAGAAGTTGAAATTGTGGGGCAGTCCAGCAACTATATAGATGCATTGGTCCAATGGGAACCAGGGGATATAAAGTGGCGTTTTACTGGCTTCTATGGCTACCCTGAAAGGAGGCGGAGGAGAGAAAGTTGGACATTGCTCCAAAATCTGTCCACTAGGTATGACCTTCCATGGGTAGTTATGGGGGACTTTAACGATATAATGGGAGCTCATGAAAAACGAGGACGGATTCCACATCCCAATTGGCTATTGAGAGGCTTTCGAGAGGCTATTTGGGCTAGTGGATTACGCAATTTCCCTTTTGACGGGTATCAATTTACGTGGGAGAGGGGGAGAGGTACCCCGGCTTGGGTCGAAGAAAAGCTTGATCGTATCTTAGTTTCTGAGAACTGGTTGGATATATTCGGGGCTGCAAAAGCCATGTCTTTGGAGGGATCTCCAAGTGACCACCTTGCTTTGTGGTTAAAGATTTCTCCAGATAGAGGCAAGCCGAGTAGGAGGCGCTTCAGGTTCGAGAACATTTGGCTAAGGGAAGAAGAATGTCGGGAGATAGTTGAGAATAGCTGGAAACGACATAATTCTTATCATGTAGTAGACCGTCTAATTTATTGTGGTGAGGAATTGAGTAAATGGGGAAGCTGTTTCCAACAGGGTTGTCAACGACGAATTAATGCTTGTCGCACACAGTTGACACGGCTGCGGGGAAAGGGTCAAATATGGGCTGCCGAGTTCATCCGTACCAAGGCAGTATATTTAGATTTACTAGAGCAACAAAATATTTACTGGAGCCAAAGAGCAAAGGAGTTTTGGATGAGAGAGGGGGACGTTAATTCAAGTTTTTTTCACAAATCAGTTAAGCAGCGGCGAAGGAAGAATCATATGGTAGGACTGCGGAACCATGGGGGAGTTTGGGTTACAGACAGAGAGCAATTAGGAGTTATGGTCTTGGATCACTTCGAGGATATGTTCAAATCCAGCCAGGGAGAAATGTGGGGAGTTTTAGACTGTGTTGAGAGGAGAGTTTCAGAGGTACAGAATATCAAGTTACTGGCCCCTATTGGAGCGAAGGAAGTGAGAAAAGCTGCTTTTGACATGCACCCGGATAAAGCGCCCGGACCAGACGGTCTAAATCCGGGATTCTTTCAACACTTTTGGGATGTTGTGGGCCCCGAAGTTGTGTCATTCTGTACTGAAGTTTTCACATCTGGAAAATTGCCCCCGAAAATTAATATCACTAACATTGTTTTAATACCTAAGAAGACACAGCCGGAAGGGATCGGGGATTGGCGGCCAATAGCGTTATGTAATGTGGTGTACAAAATCTTTGCCAAGGTCTTAGCAAATCGCATGAAGAATATGTTGAACGGGCTGATTACAGAAAATCAAAGCGCTTTCATTCTTGGCCGGTCCATAGTAGATAACGTGATGATAGCTTTCGAGACACGCCACTATTTGAAACGGAAAACTCAAGGTAAGGAAGGGTATGCTGCTTTGAAGCTCGATATGAGCAAAGCATATGATCGGGTGGAATGGGGTTTCTTAAAGCATGTTATGATGACTTTAGGTTTTCATACGAGATGGGTAAGTATGATTATGGAGTGTGTATCCACAGTCAGTTACACAGTTGCATTTGATTATGAGGATCTCGGACCGATTTTCCCGAAGCGAGGAATCCGCCAGGGGGACCCTCTATCCCCCTATTTGTTTATTCTCGTGGCTGAGGGACTCTCTGCCTTTATTCGTTATCGAGAGCAAGCAGGAACTCTACCTGTAACACCCCGGCCCCACCGGACCCGAGGTAGTTACTCCGGACCAATAGTACTGTCCTCACAAACCACCACGAGCCTTTACCGCGCACTTTGTCCTCACTCGTGCGCGCCCTGAGAAACTTCCCAGGGGGTCACCCATCCCAAGACTACTCCCGTGCAAGCACGCTTAACTTTGGAGTTCTTGGGTGATGAGCTCCCTTAAAAGGAGATGCACCTCTGTTGGTATGAGTAGTACTATTAATCCGTTTATATTAAATCTCAAGTGTTACACAATCACCCCCACTTAGGATCGCAACGTCCTCGTTGCGCCCTTAAACCAATCTCAATCAAACCCCAGAATCTTTTCCCCTGCTAAGTGTCTGCCCGATATCCAACGAGTCAGCACACTGTCGCAGGGTTGCTCTGATACCACCTGTAACACCCCGGCCCCACCGGACCCGAGGTAGTTACTCCGGACCAATAGTACTGTCCTCACAAACCACCACGAGCCTTTACCGCGCACTTTGTCCTCACTCGTGCGCGCCCTGAGAAACTTCCCAGGGGGTCACCCATCCCAAGACTACTCCCGTGCAAGCACGCTTAACTTTGGAGTTCTTGGGTGATGAGCTCCCTTAAAAGGAGATGCACCTCTGTTGGTATGAGTAGTACTATTAATCCGTTTATATTAAATCTCAAGTGTTACACTACATGGGATCTCAATTGCTAGAGGAGCCCCACTAATATCTCATCTACTGTTTGCAGATGACTGCTATTTATTCTTTAAGGCCACAGTTGGCGAATCTGAAGAGATTAAGGAAGTTCTTCGGGCTTATGAAAAGGCATCGGGACAGGTTGTTAACTTTGAGAAATCAAGCATGTCGTTCAGCGGAAATGTTAAGGCAGACACTCGAGATGTGCTTTGTTCGGTGCTGGGAGTTAATCAGACAGTGGGAATTGGAGAGAAATATTTGGGCTTACCCTCTTTGGTTGGCCGTAACAAGCGGGAGATCCTGGGTTTCCTGAGGGGGAAAATTATTAAACGAATTCAAAGCTGGAAAAATAAGTTCCTATATAAAGCCGGTAAGGAAGTTCTATTAAAAACCATTATTCAAGCGATGCCAGCTTATGCGATGACTGTCTTTCTTCTCCCGTTAGGGATGGTCCAGGAAATTGAGAGGACCATGAACGGCTATTGGTGGAAAGGGGCTGATCAAGCCCGTCATGGACTCCGCTGGCGAAGCTGGGATGGTCTTTGCTATCCAAAAACAGTAGGTGGGCTTGGTTTCCGCAGATTGCGCGAATTTAACATAGCAATGATTGGTAAGCAAGCATGGAAATTAGTTAATAAGCCCGATGCTCTAGTGAGTCGTGTTTATAAAGCAAGATATTTTCCAACATGTTCTTTTATTGAGGCAGCGGCTGGGAGTAATCCATCCTTCATTTGGCAGAGCCTTCGTGCGGCTCAGAAGGTCATAAGTGATGGACTTAGGCATCGGGTTGGTGAGGGCAGCACTGTAAGCGTTTGGAATGATGCTTGGCTTCCAGACGAGAGAAACGGGAGAGTGATCACTACCTCGCCAATCCAATTACGGGATATCACGGTTTCTCAGTTGATGTGTAATGGCGGGGCTGCTTGGGACACTGACGTTGTTAACGACATTTTTGAGGATCGAGATAAGAAACCGATTCTCAGTATACCCTTAAGCAATCGTATAGTTAAAGACGGTATTTATTGGGCGTGGGAACAAAGGGGCATTTATTCTGTAAAGAGTTGTTATCGACATTTGATAGGGGAATTCAGTCCGGGTGGCTGGCTGGGTTGGGTGAAGATGTGGCGCTATCGGATACCTCCAAAGGTAAAACATTTCTTTTGGCAGGTATGCTCCGATTGTTTACCCACAGCAACCAGGTTACGAGGGAGGCGAGTTGACGTACCTGTGTTATGCAATTTTTGCAATGAAGGAAAGGAAACCGAACTTCACTTGTTTGTTGATTGCCCACTTGCACAGGAAATATGGCACCAACTAAGAAGCAGACTAGTGCAGGTGCAAGTTTCCTCTTTTCTCGAATGGGTGAAGGCATTGTTTAGCCAAAATAACGAGGAAGAATGCTGCAAGTTTATTACTGTCTGCTGGAGCATTTGGCAGGCCCGGAATGACAAGGTCTGGCAGCATATTAACAGAAAAGCTAAAGATATAATTATTCATGGTGAGGCTATGCTTGGTGGTTGGCGGGCTGCTCAGCGACCGGTACTCACTGGAAGTATCAACAGACAAGTTGGGGGTGAACGTTGGATACGGCCAGATTCGGGATGGATTAAATTTAACACCGACGCAGCAGTCTGCAACACAAATGGACAAAGGGGCTTCGGATGGATAGCTAGGAATGCAAATGGCCAATTTTTAGCTTGTGCTTCATATCCATGGCCTAGAATCTGCTCGGTCAAAGAGCTAGAGGCATTAGCGGTCCGGGAGGCTTTGATATGGTTAAAATCACAAGAATGGGAGAAAATTGTAGTGGAAACGGATGCGCTTCAAGTGGTTTCTAGTTTAGCCGAAGAACCTGGAAACTCTTATTTTGATCTCATTTTGGATGATATTAGAGTCATGATCGCGTCTAACGTGAATAATAAGGTCTCACATGTTAAACGATCAGCGAATCGTGTAGCTCATAAGCTTGCTAAAGTTGCCGTTTCTTTGTCTGATCGTAGAGTTTGGTTGGATTTACCTCCTTCAAATATTGTAAGCCTTATGGCTAATGATTTGCTTATTTAATCTATGAAATCTTTATTTCAAAAAAAAAAAAAAAAAAAAAAAAAAAAAACAATTGTGGGAGTCCGCTGACCACCCACCCTGGGGCCTGGCCCCAATACTTCCGCCCCTGGTTGCAACCCTCCCACCCGCTTGCTCAACATCAATCATACACATTCATCATTCAGAAGGTTTCCACATACTAATCGTTCATTACACTGCATCAGGCTATATGCCTATATGTTACAACAACAAAAAGGAGTAAGCTGAATTATTATACATAATTTGTGTACAAAATACAAATGATTGAATGATGTATCCAATCTGTACTCCGTCAAGAACAAGCCTTATTCTTTTGTTTCTCAGAATCATGCAATATTTACTGAGGTGAAAATCCAAAATCATTTCACCTCCATTGAAGTGAGTGGGGGAAAATGCAGTCGTCTGCATTTGTAAAAACCATAATGACCAATCTCAATCAAATCTGCAACATTATATTCAAAGAATATTAGAGCCTGCCTTTGAATGAGTACTCGTACTTTATTACTTTTGTAGGGTCCTTCGCTTGGAGGACGGAAAATGAGAGGGAAAGAAATCAGGGAGGTGAATATAGGAACAATTTGAAAGGAAATACAATGTGATGGACAATAAAATAGACTCAAACTTGAGAAAAAATAGTACTCGGTAGTACGTATTTGTTTAAACTCATCTTATTCAAATTTCTATTTTCATTTGCAGATTTTGAGGCTAAACTAAGCACAAGAAATAACTTTAATTAACATTTGGCTCCTTACCCTAGATTTTTATGGGATCAAATGCAACATGTAATGTAAATTCATACTAAAAATATAGTATTTCATTACATTACATCATTACATATTTACAAGTTATCACGGTCTACAAATAGTACCGAGTAGTATACATAAACATTCTCCAAAACTAGCCCTTTTCATCTGTGAATAATGCATACTCTCATCCATTACTTAATTATAAACCTAGAATGGGATGATGAGTCTCACCACTTGAATCAAGATGCAGGGAATCTACAAGCTACTTGTTCAAAAAATTCTTTGCTAGCATCTGCAAATACAAAGTGAGATGACAATAAGAGGACGAAGGTGTCCCATTTACACAGAAAATTTGTGCCATTCGCAATTTGAATATGAGATGACGGTTTTAATTACAGCGTCCAAAATTACAGGGCACGCCATCAAATTGCCATTCATTGAAGGATCCAAATCAGATAAATATGAATGACTCCGTAGTAAGTGCCAGACAATCTTAACCCTTTTAAAAATCTCTTTTGGGGTATAAAATCTTATTCTCAATCTCATGTTTAGGATATTAAAAGAGTCTTACAAAACCACTACCCTTTTAGGGTTAAGTTAAGAAATAACCATATTCTTGTTCGTCGTTACTTATATTTCGGTCACATAAATTCAGGGCAGAAAGATATATCTATGGAGAGGTGGAATATTTAAAATGCCAAGGATCGTGGACTTGCCATGCTTCATTGTCAAAGATGGATCTTGATCTTCAACATAACCAATTACTTTGGCGGGTATTCCTGCCACCATGCTTCAAAAGTCAAAAACAAAAAACATTAGAGAGCAACTGACATATCATTAGACAATCTGACAATCTTAACATCTTGAAATGAGTAATCTTAGAGCATGTATCCTACTACCTGTGAGGGGGAACATCTTTCAATACAAGTGAACCAGCTGCTATCATTGCACCTTCTCCTACTTTTATATTCCCAAGTATAGTTGCACCAGCTCCGATAAGAGCACCTTGGCCCACTTTTGGATGGCGGTCACCTATTTCTTTGCCGGTACCTCCCAAGGTCACACCCTACATGAATTGCACATCCTAGCAAACTTAGATGCCGACTACGATATTATACCAAATAACCAAAAGTGAATTTCTTCCCCAATACTTCCCTAGGTGTGTTACAAACATATGCATGAGCCATTGAAGTTATTAAAGAAATTGCCCTAATTTCCCTAAATAGAAGAAAACGTTTTGAAATTCCAAAATAGGAGCAATGTTTTTATTCCCTAAATAAGAATAATTTTTGTCATGCTTGGAAAATACTGCAAATTATGACAGCAAATTATGACAGTAATAATGCCATATTAAAGCCTGGTAATGCCAACATAAGATACTATAACATAGTACTCCTATTTTGGAAATTTACATTTTTTTTAACTCTTATTTCAGAAATTTTCCCAAGTCATCATCATCATCATCATGCATAGTTGGATATTTAGTGGTATGTAGTTATTATTGTTATTACATTATTAGTTGGTTTTATATAGTAGATATTGTAGCTGGGACTGTATCCCGTGGAACGGATGGCCATGGCTCAGGCTCCAGCTCCGAAGTGGAGTGGCACTGTCAGACTTTTTTTAAACATCAACGTTTCTGATTTGGATCCAGATTCCCGAGCGGCAAGCAGCCATCTTCAAGTCGGGTTCCGGTTCCTCCGAAACAGGACTGGAACTGATTGTTTACAGTCTTTAAATCAATTAGTAAGATGCAGTTCTGAAAGGCCAAAAACCGGATTCCATCCAGGACTGCTGGTTCCAACCGGAAAGGAACCGATACCGGAACCAAACAAGGTACAACCAGTTCCGGGTACGGTTGTTATATTTTTATGACCACAACTGGACAGTGTCCACCTCTAACTAGGTATCCGATTGAGCAGAACGGTTATGGTGTTAGTTTATATTTATTTATTATATACATATTCTTATGTATGTATGTTTCGATACAAGATACGGATAGATATGAATTATGGAATGAATCCAAAAGCTTCTTCCCTGAGAGTTCTTTTCTAGTCATTAAGTGTGTATATGCTTTTCCATTTTGGTTCAATAAATTCTTAAGGTTGTCAGCACCCAAGAAGAGGCTAGCGTCCAGGAGGGAATTAAGGATGTTTTTAATTGGACTGGTCCCAGACATCTACAAGACCACACTTAAACAGACCAGATGGGAAAATTGTAGTGAAAATGCTTTTACTTTTTGGACTGAAATGAATGTAATGTGTTTTAATGACTTGTCTAACATCACATTTATTATTCAACATAAATCATAAAAAAACATTGTTTCTATATCTTTAGATAACTCAACTCCTTAGGCAAATTAAGGGAAGACGAAGATGTTCAAAATACCTGCATTAGTGAAACTCTATTTCCAATAACAGCGGTTTCACCAATAACTACGCCGGTGGCATGGTCAAGAAGGATTCCCTCTCCCATTTTAGCAGCTGTGACCAATATATAGAGAATAAAATAAGAGAAACAGATTCAACGGAAAGTGATCCTATTCAGTTTTTACATGAACAGAACATTTGTAGACAGAAATGGGAGTTTTAGGATTGCAAGATGGGAAGAGGAATGGAATTAGTGGATGGGGAATTAATTAAAATACTACAGTTTCTTTGTTGGGTAACAAATTTACTAGATTACTCCAACTAAAACAGTTTACATCATTATTCATTAATGACATGTTTAACATTTCAAAAATTACACATCCCCTCCCATCAAGGTAATAAAATAGTGGGATTAGAAGCCTCTAATTCCTATTACCCTAATACCATCAGTTATCTCATTCTCAACAAACACATAAATGCATTTCACAAAATGTCATTAAGTCACATTCCCCACCATAACTCCATCTAAACCAATGACCCATTGATGACCAGCAATAGTTCAAACTTAAAAGTGAAAACAGAATTACCAGGATGAATATCAACCCCAAATACCTGCAATTGAGCAACATTTTAAATTTAGGTATAATAGCAATGGTGGGGGGGAGAAAGAATTGGGATGACTAACTTTCATGGAATAGGCATTTTCAGGGAAAGAGAAGTGCTTTCATTCAAAAGAAAACGTTTGGAAGCAAATTGGAAATAGATATTTTTATAGAAAAAGAAAAATGTTTTCTTCGGAAAGATGAAGTTATACACTTACCAGTTACCACACATAATTGCAAACAAACTCTAACACTATGAAGTTTCAATGGCATTAAATCAGAGCAAATGACTACTAATGCATCCCTACCTCACTGGCTCGACTTTGCAGTGCTAGTGCCAGAACATTGCGCCCTTGATTCCACAATGCATGTGCAACTCTGTGTGTTTGTAAAGTATTGTAACCCTATTCAAATAAAATAAGTACAACAATAATAAATAAAAAAATAATAGCCCATTTGGGAAGGCTTAATTGGCATAAGTACCTAAATCTGCTCAAATATCTAAAATATTTCTTAAAAGTACATTTTAGAATAATATAAGAAAATAATATCTAATAATGAAGGTTGATGTTCTTATACCAAAAAAATTGCCTACCAAACAGACACTAAATAAAACTACAAATATATAATGCTCACTCTGACAAATTTTGACCTTTTACAAAGCATTTCATACAATACCCTTACGTATTTGCACAGAGACAGATACACGGATACGGGGACACTCTAAAACGGAACCGACAAAGGCCATTCTTCTAAAATACAGCACACAGACAATGGGGTATATTTATTAATATTAAAAATATAAAAACGTACTAGTATTTGTTAATATATAAAACTAGTATTTGTTAATATATAAAATTATAAAAGAATACTTCATATGAATGCATATAATTTATGTACAGCAATATTTCACTCAAAACGTCTGAAATAAGATGTGCCCATGCATGATATATCCTTCCATGGCACTCATGTGAAGTAGTTTCATATTATTGAAATATAAATATTCTAAATGATATATCCAGGAATAAGAAATGAAAGAAAAGAATTACCTTAAGGTACAATAAAGCGGAGCAGTATGACAAACAAGATGGGTCCCTATCTTTGAATGCCTGCAATAAATGCAAATGTAAAACACTAAGATAGAAAACCAAGTCAATAGTGAACCTTCTGGTAAGTTGCATGAAGGGCACTTGCTAACCTTTATACAAGGAAAAGCTACTTATTCTGCTAGTTTGCAGAATAAGGCTATATGGCTACCAAACAGAGCCTACATAAGTTAAGATAAATGTTACAATTGCACATTTATACCTGTATATCCATACGAATGGAACGTTGCATCCCTCGGTCATGCAATATGACACCACAGAATATGTCCATCAATTGTGTTGCCAAAAGTGTGGGATTTTGCAACCGGTTGGCAAGAACAAAACCTAACGCCCGCTCTAAGCAATCATGTGACAAAATACTTGCATATAGATAACTACTTAGTATCGGCTCCTTCTCTGCCTGATTATACATTCATGAGCAATAATAAAAAGTTAGAACGGAATATCTTTCTATATAGATATATCAATGAACACCAATTATTACTCAATTATTGACATAGAACAACTTCCCAAAATCCAATGTTTGTATTATTACAATATTACTCCGTAGCACTTAGAATTGGAACTATATCAAAAAGCAAGTTTCATATCACTGTTTCAACTCTTATCCTCATCTTATCAATTTCAACTTTAACTAAAGTACTCAAACTTTTTCCTTTTTAGCAGACTGTCTCTAACAACGAAAAAAAACTTCAAACTTCAAATTATTTACTAAAACCTTCAAAAAATTCAAGCTTTCTTCCAAAACTTCCAAATTTTCACAAGTAGATCCCGAAAAGAGTTTATGTACTCATACGGTGGGTAAAGGTAAAATCTGCTTACCTCTCAGTCTTCCGGGACCCTACCTCTGGGTGGGATCTAATAGGTTTTTTTGGTGTGGTTTTTTGACTTTTTTCTACTATTAAAAACAATATTACGTAATTTCTTTTGAACCTGAAGTCTTTGGAGTTCAATTTCATACTATTATAGCCAGAGCCTTTATGCTCGAGCTAAATACAAACCATAAACCAAATAGATTTCTAACAAAAAAACAGTCACCTTTTTCTCCTCCATACATATGATGACTTCCTTGCTTCTTCTGATTTTCATTTCATCGTAATTATGAGAGAGGGCTTGGATTAAATCGAATATGTATGTTCATTCGATGTGGAAAGATTGAAGGTTAATATGGTTTGAAACCAATTTAAAAGTTGAGACTGCGGTTTTATATGTTTGTTTGTATACTTATATGAGTTTATCTTAACCCATCCTTAAAATCATAACAAGAAAAAGAGAACATTTCATGAAGTAATTGGCCCAACAAAACAATGAACAAAAAAATGTTCGAAAGAAGTAAGAAAGCTACCTCGGATTTGGCTTCTTGACGAACGGCATCCCAAATAGGGTCGCCAACTCCACGGCCCGAATTGGCGAGGGAAACGACCAAGTTCGGGTCAGGAACCGAGACTCCGACAGCATAAACCGGGAAAACCTTCTCCAACAGGAACTCACTCATAGGAGGTGTTGCTTTGTTTCCGCAATTATTGGAAGGAAGAGCCTCTTCCTTGATTCTGGTCGAGGCCACTCCGATCAGAGCAAACCGGTTATCGTTGCTCAGGCAAGTCATCTTATACTATGGCTTAGAGCCGGAGACTAGGGTTTCGTACTATACTATGCCATTTCATCCCATGGTGCATGCAACCATGAAAATGCAGAGAGAGAGAGGAGCACTCAGCAGTGTTCTCATATGAAGCAGGGGATGGGGTATATATGCACCTCAAATTTTCAATTTATGTGTTTGATACTCCCTCCTTCCCCAAAACAAGTATCCGTATTAAGGAAATAAATTTATTTGGATAAATTTTATTGTTTGATATTTCTATTTGATATTGTTTTGTATTATTTGACACTGTTTTGATGTAAGTAATTTGTCAAATAAAAAAAGGAAACTTAATTTTGGGATTGATCAAAAAGGAAAGAGTTAACTTGTTTGGAGTATAAACCTCCTTGACTTATTGGAAGTCTCCAATTCTCTGACTCTATACTTCTCGGTTATTCTTTTTTGGGAAAATTGTCAAATTAGCCTTCGAAGTATATCAAAAAAATTAATTAAACCCTCGAACTAAACAAACACTCAATTAAACTCATGAACTTTATAAGACTGATCAATTAAACAAACACTCAATTATAAGGCCCTTGAACTAATTTAAAGTGTTCAATTAGCAGCCCCTTATATAGGAGCTTCTGCCTGGCCGTTGCCAATTGGGGTGGTTCCCGGTGGAATTTTTTGATGGATTTTTTTTAGCATCTTCTTCATTAAGTCTACTTTACCCATATCAAATTTAAGCTAAAAATTAAATTGGGGAGGCAGTCAAATGATTTTCCGAAATGTACTGTGTTGTTTAACTGCACAGTTATCTTCAAAAAATCATTTGATTGCCTTCCCGGTTGAATTTTTAGCTGAAATTTAGTATGCGTAAACTAGACTTAATGAAAAATATGCTTAAAAAAAATTCATTATAAAATTCCACAGGGAACCGCCCCAATTGGTAACGGCCAGGCAAAACCTCCTATATAAAGGGCTAATTGAACGCTTTAAGTTCGTTCAAGGACCTATTTGACCCTTTAACCATTTTATAATTGAGTGGTTTACTCTCGGTTAGCCGGTCATTTTTAACATGGTAGTCCAGGTGGCTTTTTTTTTTAAAGTTTTTCCTATTTTCCTTTTATTTTTTCCCAACTCCCCTGCTCCATTCTTCATCCAGCCGCACCCCTTCTTCTTCATCGCACTCGGCCCTTCTTTATTCTTCTTCAGACCAGCCAGCCCCACGCAATCATCTTCCTTATTGTTCTTCACCGGCCAATTTCACAGCCCACCAACCGCCTTCCTTCAGCAATACAACCCAAATAAAAGAGAGCACTCCAAAAACCATCAATACTTACGGTTGCTTGTTTTAAGAGCATCTCCAATGCTGGGGTGCATTGGAGCTTATGTGGCTAACAAATGGAGAAGGTCTAGAGCCAATTTGAGCAAGAAGGGCATGGTCCATTTCAAACAAGCTGCAGTGCGGAAGGGAGAAAGCAAATAAATAATGAAGAGATGAGGAAAGAGAAAAGGCAATGCTTTGTAGTTGGTTGTCAGAAGGTGGCACCAAGGATCTCAATGTAGACCCTTTGCTGGACGTGTGCTTTGCCAAGTCAGCTCTTGGGAGTCCATTTATTTTTGGATTGGAGAGTGCATATGAGTATAGAGAGTGCATTTGATGAGTTGGCATCCCAATCCACCCCAGCATTGGAGTTGCTCTAAGAGACCCAAGCTGAGAGAAAGGTGAGGCATCTCTAGTACCTTGTAGCGGCTGCGCCATTTCTGCGGCTGAAAAACATTGCCTTTTCCGGGGAGATGCTCACCGGAGTAAAAGGGAATGAAGGAGTTATTCAAATCCAATCATAGGACCCGGTTGGCGTCAGGGGCGGAGCCAGAAAAGTGTGTGAGGGGGGTCGGAGTTTAATTATACACAGTATCAAAATGATAGATAATTATTATACAATACTTGAATTAAATGTTTCATATTTAGCTGAGATAAATGATAGTTTATTGAGTCTTTTGAGTTAATGTATTGATATATATGTAATGTATCATAATGTTCACATAACTAACGACTGAATAAGATGTTTTATTTTTAAATTTAAGAATATAATCAACGTCACACATTAAATTTTGCTTATTTCAAGTTAAAATGGTGCTGATTTTTCCAGAAGTCATAACATTTTACTCGTAACGAAACTCATAATATATCAAATCGAAGTTATTTCAGAGTTCTACATTCTTGAATTTTCAACGGGATCTGCTGACCACCTTGACCCCCCTTGGCTCCGCCCCTAGTTGGCGTTGTTCGTCAGATTTGTGATCTCCTCATCTTTGCCGAAAGCGGGGCAGGCGGTCTGAAGGAGAAGAATAGGGAAGGAGTGGGTCGATGGGCCGATGGGGTTGAGGAGGCATGGGACGCTGAAGAAGAAGTAGGGAGGAGAATAAGAGGAGAAATAAACGAAATGGGAAAAAGAAAAGATAAAACATTAAAAAAAACACATGGATTGTCAAGCAAAAAAAATGACCGGCTAACAGGGAGTTTACCTGCTAAATTACAAAATCGATTGTTTTTATATAGTTCATGGGTTTAATTGACTATAAGTTTTTCAAAAAAAACATGACTGTAAGTTTACTTCGAGGGTTTAATTGACCTTTTTTATATACTTCGAGGGCTAATTTGACAGTTTTCCCTAAAAAGAATAATTTGATTATATAATTTTTGTTTTCTTTTTCTCTCTAATTCTTTTTGTCACAAAAAAGAATTATTTCATCCGTCCCCAAAAAATTGATCAAAACAACTTTTTTTTATCAATGATATTTTTTAATATAAAATTATTTAAAATATGAACATTATATGCTGTAATAAAGTAAAATGACTCACTAAACAGCCTGCGCTTTTTTATTATGAAGCAGTAGTCAGCCATGCTGCCCATGCCCATGCAATTTGACGTGATTTTCACTTTGGATCATCGGGAAACAGTTTCTCTGTGCTTTAGTACAGAGGTAAGATTGCGTACATCCGACTCCCCTTAGGCCATCTCCAACAGTTAACACCATTTTTTACACTAAAATGGTATAAATAAACATCACATCAAACAGTATTTTATCTCCAATAGTTTACACCATTTTCATCACCAAAAAGGAATATTCTCTTTTTATTCTTTTTACTAACTTTTTACCATTATTCTATTTAAGTATCTAACTATCTTATATTTATACATTAGCCCCTCATTTAATATTTTGACATTTCACACATTATTTCACACATACAAACTAAAATACATCATTTTAATATGTATTTTCATGCATTTCACATTGTGTGATTTAAATGTTATTATATTTTTTTTTTATCAAATTAATAGTTTTTATTGTTGTTGTATAAGGATGTTTTTACTTGGACTGTAATTTGTTTCAGATCAGATCAGACCTGATTAGAACAAACTTGGGTAATTATAAAAATACAAAGAAATCAGACCAGGCCACACCAATTCAGACCAGACTAGACCAAATCAGACCAGACCGGACCAACAAATTTCAGTCCAAGTAAAACATCCTAATTTGTTGTGTTAAAAATGGGTCAAAACTATAATAATCAAAACTTTGGATCACATTTGAAAGAAAAAAAAATTACAAAAAGAGAATGGTGCTACAAATGGCGTACGCCATATATGGCGTAAAGCCATCCCCCCTCCCCCATTTTCGTGTAATGGTGTAAAGTTTGGTATCATTGTTGGAGCATTTTTTTGCCAAACACACCATTTTGGTGTTGAAGATGGTGCTTGTTGGAGATGACCTTACCCCATCGTAGGTGGGAGCCTTTGCGGCACTGGGGTGATGATGATGATTGATGATGATGCTGATGATGATGATGATGATGATGATGATGATGAAAATTACATGAACATATTTTTTATTAAAAAAAATTCATAAAAGTATAAAATTTATAAATTGCACACAAATATAACACCTAAAGTCATTGTCTAAACTTTAACACCATTAACCAAAAAAATCAAATTGGTCAATCTTTTTGGGACGGAGGGAGTATATTAATACTGAAATGATAAATCAGTTTACAATCAAATCGGATCAAGAGTCTTGGGGATAGCAATTTAAGGTTAAACCTATAACAAACATGTAACTTTTGATTTAGCATGTTGAATTAGCTAAAGTCACTGTAGATGACCATTTTAGCTATTTTCATATAAAATTTTTCTTCACTTAATTGATAAAATATATTTTAATTTTTTCATAATTCAGCAGAATCAATCAATCCAACCACTTCAGTCAGAACTTCATAAATTTTAGCAGAATCAGTCGTCAATTCTAATGTTACTAAATAGGCTCTAAGTCTATGAATTTTACATATTAATGGATCTTCTCGGAGAGATAAAAAGGCTTAGAGCATGTTTGGTGACTGTTTTTCAGCTTATCATGCTTATCAACCAGTTTTTAACCAAATACGTAATTTTTGATTTCACGCGTAGAATTGTGTAATAATAAGAAAAAGTAAGGTTGGAGTTACTTTTCTGATTGTATTGGCTGAAGTTACTGTAGGTGACCATTTTAACTATGTTTTCATGTAATTTTTTCTTTCTTTTAATAAAATATATTTTAAATATAATTTTTTCATAAATCAGCAGAATCAGTCAATACAGTCACTTCAGCCAAAACTTCATAAATTTCAGCAGAATCAGCCGATTAAGCCTATTTCAATATTACCAAACAGACTCTTAAACGAAATAGAATGCAGAAAGGTTTGATCGAATCACACTCGTCATGTTTGGAATAAATATAGCATGTTTCGAGCAGGGCCAGCCCGACCATATAAAAGGCCCGTTTCAAAATTGAAAGTGAGGCCCTGAAGTATAAAACAAAATATTAATACTCACACCGTTTTTAAATCTTTCGGTTTATGTGGTTTTTAAGAAGAAAATAGTAGAGGTAGTACAGAGGTGTAAGATAAATGAAAAAGTAGGAAAGAAAATATATTAAGAAAAGTAAAGTAATGATAAATTATGAAAGAGAAAGTATATGCAAGCTCGTCCCAAAGGTAAGAGGGTTTTGTGTTAATTACTGTAATTAGGCCTTATGTAACAAAGAAATTGCACAGTTGTAATTAACAATTGCATTTTAATTACATATTAACATTACTATTTGATGTTTTTTTAATACTAAGATAGGAATTTTTAATAAAATAAAAAAGAATTTTTTACATTATGT